ATTTACCCAGCTCCCTTCACTTCACCCCCCCAAGTGTTGAAATATCTGTTCAGTCGAATCACAGACAGATCAGATCGGGGTTTTTTTTTCTTCTCTCTCTTGCAAATGTTCCCGTCTCGATGAATCTTGATTTGACGGATCAGTGTTTTTCCAAGATCAAAATGTCCGGTGTGAACTGTCTGTGGAGATCTGAACAGATTTCCCATTTATTCTGTCAGTTAAACTCATAAATTGATAATTCGGTCGGTTTCAATGTTGTTTCAGCTCTGTAATTAAATATCTTACACTGCTGCACATCCAGAAACATCTCAATCACCGGCAATCTATAAAAACATACTATTTTGGAATAATATAATATATGTGTACCAATTTATATAAGAATATTTTAAATGTACATCCAGATAAGTTTGCGTGTGTGTACATATATACAGAAATGTATAAATGGTTGGATGGAAACATCCTCCTGAGGCAACGTCTGCTCTCATCCCTGCAGCAGAAACGTCTGTTGGCAAAATCTTCGACAAAGACTTTTGTTTTGTGGATGAGATATGTGTCACACATGTAGACCTAAAATACTTTTGCTTTGTATTTCTATTTTTGTGTTGCGTGTCTTTGCCACGGGCGTGTGCTGTAATCACACCGCCTGTCTGCATGTATTGATTTGTGTGTGTTCTTGCACTGTCCTGCACACAAGCACTGGAGGTGGACACTACAGTGTGTCCCTGGGAGGACGCATCTGTACGACTGTAAAAACACATATGCTTTATTTGGCTCACTGGTTACGTTTGTACACGCTGTACACCCAAATGTATTCAAATGGACTGAGACAGGAATCTGAGGGCTGTTGCAGTTGTTATTCCAAGTCCAAGTCTTTTCTTTTTATTGTTGATTGGCTTGTTTCACAGCAAACAACAGAAGAAATAACACAACAGCTTCCATCACCACACGAGAGACTCACATACATATAAATAAAATAAAATACATAAAGAGTACGTCAGGTCACAGGAGAATGAGAGAGAAGAAGCTGAGTGGAATGGTCATGTGTCAGTTTGCATAATGAAAACTTTGCCTGAAAAACGCTGTGCTACCGTGAAAACAGCGTCCCGGACTCCTGTGTTTGATCTGAGCAACGTGAGGAAGCATCTTCTTCTTTCTGAGGAGCAGCACGTTTGACAGGAAACATGCGGAGACAGCATCTGACACGTCTGCTCAAACGAGAACGTGTGGTTCAAAAAAGCCTCTTCAGAAGCAGGTATATATAACGGGAGGGAACGCGTCAGTTTCCACACACACACTGCGGCTGCCATCAGAGGGACAAATCAAAAGAAGAACGTCTTTTAACTCGCTCAGACGACTGAGCCACTCTGGTAAACAGACATTTCTCCGTAGCAACAGGCTGACCCCGTTTCTATGGTTATGGTGTCCCTTCTGCTGTTCTTCCTGGACAACGACGGCAAGAGAAAAGAGAAAAGGGCGGACGGGGGTGTGCATGAGCACGTGGGCGCTGCTCAACCTGCAGCAGGTGGTTTCAACCGAATCACCTCCGACGAAGCAAAGCAAGAGAGCGTCAGGTGATAAATGTGAGTCTTGGAATAAAGGACCAAGGAATTCCTGAGTCTGATGCGTCTGCTCAGCGGTGCACCGAGTTAAGGGGGTCACTGCGAGTTCAACATAGATGATTTAGCCTTAAGAGGGAAAGTGATGGGCTATTAGCTGCAGATAGTTTGACTTCTCTCCCCCCACACACAGGTATATATATCCTCCTGGGGCTGCAGAGGGAGGGGGTGTCAGTTTGTGAGGATTTGGGTTTTAAATCCTCTCAAGCTGATAAATGATGTGGATGGTGATTTTATTTCCCACTTGTTCCTCGACTCCCTCCCTTTTTTTTTTCTTCCCCCCCTCTTAGCTGAAGCTCTGCTCTCTCCCTTCTTCCTCGGAGCTGTGACTGAATCTGCCCATGCACCGTTGCTATGCGACAATCGGAGTAACGAGAGTCATCATTGAATAAGTCATTAACTTAAGGCGAGAGGCATTTCAGACACGATCGTATTCCTAGTTTATTAAGCCAACAAAACAAAGTGCATCAAACCGCGGTGTGATACCCGGAGAGACTTTCAGTGCAGTGCTCAGTGTGTCGCTCAGTGTGATGAGTGGTTATGACAGCTGAAGAGAAGTGGCTGCCAGACGCTGATGTAAGGCACCGCCGCCGAGGCTTTTCTTCTTCCTGCTCCCCAGCGTCCACAGCCACACCCCGGCTAAAGACCCCGAGTGACCCCTTTGGCAATTCAATTCCATTTCCTGCTGCCAGCTGCCCTGAGTCATTACTCTAACTCCAGGGTTATATATTGCTGTGTGTGTGTGTGTGTGTGTGTGTGTGTGTGTGTGTGTGTGTGTGTG